CTAGAAATGATTAAGAATATTAAGAGACCAGAAGCGTCTAGACTAAAAATACAAAGTCTCTTGTAAAAGGTGGAATCAAACCAAGGTCTCTAATGGAATTCTGAGCAGGACAGAATCCTGGAAAGTTCCAGAATTTCTGATTGATCATCCACACCCTCTATGCTGTAACATCACACGGCTCTGTGACATCACACAGCTCAGAAGCTGGCCCTAGGCTGGGTGCAATGGCTCACACTATAATCCCAACACTTTAGGAGGCTGAGGTGAAAAGATTGCTTGAGCCCCGGAGTTAGAGAGCAGCCCGGACAATATGGTGAGACTCCATCTCTATAAAACATAAAAGCATTAGCTGGCAAGGTGGTGTGCACCTATAGTCGCAGCTACTTAGGAGGCTGAAGCAGGACAGCTTGAGCTCAGGAGGTGAGGCTGCATACTGAGCCATGTTTGCACCACTGCCTTGCAGCATGGGTGACAGTGCAAGACCCTGTTTCAAGGAAAACAAGCAGTAGCAGCAGCCCCTGTCTGGAGTCCAGACACCAGCTCCATCCCTCCCTAGCTCAGAAGCCAACTGCAACTCCAGTCCTGATGGACTTCTCGCCTCTGCCAACTTCCCCACCCTTGCGTCTCAGCTGGGCCTTAGAGACCTGCCATATTTTACTCTCTCACTTTCCCTCGAGCTTTGACCCTGTTTTCCTGCCTACTCCGGCCACACAACCCTCACCAATTTCTAGGTTCCCATTCCTGCACAGGCATGGGCAGAGGAGCAAAGCGGGAATGAATCAAATGCATGATGCCCCTGCTGCAGAATGGTGAAGAAAAGGAACCTCTCACTGTGTGACCTTTAGCAGGTCACCTCCCATCTCTGGGCCTTAGTGTATCTGCTAATGAAGTACAATTCTTGGATTAGGTGGCTGCTAACATCCTTTACCAATGCAAAGCTCTATTGTTCTTTGGGAGAGGTGGGACAGGACTAGGAGCTAGAGAGAAATGGGGGGTCCAGGTTTCATGCAACTATGCAGTGTATGCGCATGTTGACTGTACATTCATTCTGCTTTGCTCCATGTCTAGAGGTAGCTGTGAGCGGAACAATATGATTGCATCCAGGTACATGCACATTCCAGGCACCTGTGTGGAAACACGTGCGCGTGAGAGAGATGATAAGGGTTTCTAAATGTGTGATTATGTCTGTGAATGTGTGTGCTATGTGCTGAAAAGTGGAGATTTAGCCAGGCACGGTGGCTCACACCTGTAATCCCAGCACTTTGGGAGGTCAAGGTGGGTGGATCACCTGAGGTCGAGAGTTCAAGACCAGCCTGACCAACATGGAGAAACCCCTCTCTACTAAAAATAAAAAAAAATTAAAAATTCGCTGGACATGGTGGCAGGTGCCTGTAATCCCATCTACTCAAGGGGGCTGAGGCAGGAGAACTGCTTGAACCTGGGAGGCGGAGGTTGCGGTGTCATGCCATTGCACTTTAACCTGGGCAACAAGAGAAAAAGTCTGAAGAAAGAGAGAGCAAGAGAGAGAGAGAGAGAGAGAGAGAGAGAGAAGAAAGAAAGAGAGAGAGAGAAGAAAGAGAGAGAGGAGAAAGAAAGAGAAAGAAAGAGAAAAAGAAAGAAAGAAAAAGGAAGGAAAAGAGAGAGAGGAGAAAGAAAGAAAGAGAAAGAAAGAGAAAAAGAAAGAAAGAAAAAGGAAGGAAAAGAGAGAGAGAGGAGAAAGAAAGAAAGAAAGAGAAAGAAAGAGAAAAAGAAAGAAAAAGGAAGGAAAAGAAAGAAGAAAGGAAAGAAAGAAGGAAAGGGTACATGTGAATATGAGTACGGTGTGGGTACATGGGTAGACATATGTGTGCTGGTGAGTCAGGGGTCACCGATGGGGAATGTGATTAAAGTGGGAGTAGTGATGGGCAAGTGCTGCTGGGGGTCATTACCAGGGAGGTGCCCCCTGGCTAAGGAGCCCTTGCTCTAACCCCTAGGCTTCCCTACTTATGCCTCCTGCCCTACTGTCACTCTCACTCCAGGTGGGGCAGAGGGAGCTCAGCTGGCCTTAGACTTTGTAGAGCTTTCTTTAAAGGGGCTCAAAACTCTTCCAAAGAATTCCAGTAAGGGAAATAATAGTGAGGCATATATAACTGCCTATGCTTTAAGCACTTTACATGCAGCAATAACTTTCTCAAACAACTCTCTGATAGTTACTATTCTATTTTGCAGCTACTCTTTGGCTGAGAGGGACTAAGTAGGGAAGAAAATAAGGGAAATGGAGCCAGGCACGGTGGCTCACACCTGTAATCCCAGCACTTTGGGAGGCTGAGGCAGGAGGATCACTTGAGCCCAGGAGTTCAAGGCTGCAGTAAGCTACTGCACTCCATCCTGGGTGATAGAGCAAGACTTCATCTCTACAGAAATAAATTTAAAATTAAATAAAGGGAAAAATGGATTTTCATGATTTAAATCTAGAGGAGAGCAGGACTGAGGCCCAGAAACAGGTGAAAAGTTTGGTCAAGGTAAGAACAAGACTGGGAACAGGATCCAGGCCCTTCCTTCATTACTCCAGGCTGGTCTGGTTGGTATCTTGCAGCTGAAATCACAGAGGGAAGGACTGCATTTAGACTCCACAAGAGACTTCCAAGGGGTTATGCAGGATGCAACATGCTAATGGTCAAAACCAGGGCCCAGTACATCTCAGGACAGGCACACCAACCAGGACCATGCAGCCTCAGCCCCGTCACGTCTGTTCTCAGGCAGACCCTGAGGATGGATGAGACCTTCACTGCCCTCCGGGGGCTCAGATCACAGCTAAGTCAGCCTCTGACATGTTTAAGTACAATGAAGTGTGAGGCAGGCACGGAGAGCCAACAGAGGACTCATGCCTTGTGGTGCCCTTCCACTGAGAAGCAATACCGAACCGAGGACAGTCCTCCTCCCGTTAGAAGCCACCCCAACTCACAATACTTATAAATGGGCTGGTGAATGACTCTCCATAAATGCATCGGGCAGTTTCCTCCCATTCCGGGTTGAAATGCGGCCCATGGCCAGAGGAGCCTCTCAGGGAATTAGTCTCCAAAGCACAAACATTGCTTGTGACCCACATGGCTCTGGCCCAGGAAGAAATTCAAACCTGACCCCAAAGCCCTTGGGATCTTCTGGATTGACATCAGGCAAGTCCAGGTTCAGTGTTTAAAAAGGGAAAATGTGCCGGGCACGGTGGCTCACACCTGTAATCCCTGCACTTTGAGAGGTCGAGGCAGGTGGATCACAGGTTCAGGAGTTCGAGACCAGCGTGACCAACATGGCGAAACCCCGTCTCTACTAAAAATACAAAATCACTTTCAGCTTTCGGCTCGGAGGAGGCCAAAGTGCAGCTTCCTTTGGTCAACCTGAATCCGGGGTCATCCGACACCAGCTGCCTCCCCCGTGCTGCCAAAGTCCAACCCCAACGAGATCAAAGTCATACACTTGAGGTGCACTGGGGGTGAAGTCAGTGCCACTCTTGTGCTGGCTGCCAAGATCGGCCCCCGGGTCTGTCTCCAAAAAATTGATAATGACATTGCCAAAGCAAAAGGTGACTGGAAGGGCCTGAGGATTACAGTGAAACTGACCATTCAGAAGGGACAGGCCCAGATTGAGTGGTGCCTTCTGCCTCTGCTGTGATCATCAAAGCCATCGAGGAACCAACCAGAGACAGAAAGAAACAGAAAAACACTAAACACAGTGGGAATATCACTTTTGGTGAGATCGTCAACATTGCTCAACACATGCAGCACTGACCTTTAGCCAGAGAACTCTCTGGAACCATTGAAGAGATCCTGGGGACTACCCAGTCTGTGGGCTGTAATGCTGATGGCCACCACCCTCATGACATCATAGATGGCATCAACAGTGGTGCTGTGGGATGCCCAGCTAGTTAAGAAGCACAAAGGGGTCAGGCGCAGTGGCTCAAGCCTGTAATCCCAGCACTTTGGGAGGCCGAGGCGGGTGGATCACGAGGTCGAGAGATCGAGACCATCCTGGTCAACGTGGTGAAACTCCGTCTCTACTAAAAATACAAAAAATTAGCTGGGCATGGTGGCTGGCGCGTGCCTGTAGTCCCAGCTACTCAGGAGGCTGAGGCAGGAGAATTGCTTGTACCCAGGAGGCAGAGGTTGCGGTGAGCCGAGATCGCGCCATTGCACTCCAGCCTGGGTAACAAGAGCAACACTCTGTCTCAAAAAAAAAAAAAAAGAAGCACAAAGGAAGATATTTCAATAAAGGATCACTTGACAACTAAAAAAAATAATAATAATAATAATAATAATAATAATACAAAATCAGCCAGGCATGGTGGTGTGCATCTGTAATCTCAGCTACTTAGGAGACTGAGGCAGGAGAATCGCTTGAATCCAGGAAGCGGAGGTTGCAGTGAGCCAAAATGACGCCATTGCATTCCAGGCTGGGCAACAGAGCGAGACTCCATCTCAAAAAAAAGTGGTGGGTGGGGGGAATATGTGCAACCACTCCTGGGTGACACAGTTTGCAGAATGTACATCCTAGATCCTGCCTACAATTCCCACGAAGTTCCCTTGTTGACAAGATCATCACAGCAGAAGCTGGAGAAAATTGGCCTTGAATATCACAGAACCTCATGACCCCCTAGCAAAATGCAAGGAGCACAGAGCTGGACTGAAGAATCTTGAAAGAATCTTCAGGCAGCTAGTTTGCATTTGTGAGTGTTGGCAGGTCAGAATTTATCAACCAGGGCTGATGTGTGAGCCCAGTGGGGTCATACCCCCTACCCAGGGGGGTGGCAGCCTGCCAGCCAAGTTTCAGTCCCATTCCTCTGGCATGAGACTTTTCTGTTTACACAGGAAGAGGGCCTTTTGCATACCTGTCCTCTGGGCAGAACCCAGAAGAACACAGCAGACACTCTGGCACTAGAGTGCCTTAAAAGGTAAAGCCCAGGCCTCTGGCCAATGACGCACTTTAGCCCCACCCAGAGACATGGAAAGCAGAAACTATTGTTGCATTGATGATGTAATTTTATGCAATAGAAAGGAATGTGTGCTCACTGTACAGAAGCTTCTCTTGGACTGTGAGGTAGAAATCCAGCCTTTCTCTAGCCACGCGATTCCCTAGACTGGTCTACCTTCTGACCCCCAAAGTCCAATACCTTGTAAAAACTCGGACTTACACCCTAGATCTGAAGTAGAGACAGAACCGGAGCCTCCCTCTGATTCCACAGCCCACGCTTTCCTCCACCGTAGCGTGTTGTTCCTCTGCCCACCACCAGATCATATTAACACAACTGTGTGGCCCAATTGCGTGTTAAACCAGAAACCAGGCTTGGGCCACCCAATTGTGCTTATATCCCTCCAGCTCCCCATCTGCAAAGGCCACCTGTCCTCAAGTGCCCCATCAAGGTGGTAGAAGGCACTGGCCCGGTCCCCATCCCACCCTTTTCTGTTTCTGCTCAGATTCCTTATCTACGGCCCACCTGCCCCCTCCAGAATCTCATCTCCAGGGGTCCCAGAGTGTCTTCCTTGCCATCGTGTTCCCTGTATCAAGCACTATGAGGCCATTCAGTAAGTATGTGTGGAGTGAATGAATGGATGAAGAATGGAATTCTCAGCCCTGCTGCCCAAAAGCTGTCTGTGGGACCCAAGCTAGACCCTTCTGCATGAATGAACCACTTCTCTGGCTCTCCTCAGACTCTGCGCTCCCCATCCTAAAGACCCTGGATCTATAACATCGAATCACTCTACATTTAAGTCACATAGACCCTCACACCAGGAGGGGAGGAGCTTGCTTCCTGGTACGATTCCTGCCCTGACCTCTCCACGCAGCCAGGTTTGTCTGCGCTCCTGAAACAGCCTGGAGAATCCAGGTTTAAACGCCTGGCAGCTCAGACCACTGCACAACTTTTTATTGCATATAAGTCCCCAGAAAGAAGGGGTGGCGGCAGTTCAGAGGGCCAGGGTTCTTGGTCCAGGTCAGTCACAGGCCACGTCTATCCGATGGCACCAGCATCCAGGCCATCTGCACTGGGGACGGTCAGTCACGGTTCTGGAAGCCATGCTCCCACACCTCACGTTCTGGCGTAGGGGGAAAAAAAGGAAAGGTGTTGTAGGGTCAGCTCTATGGGAGGGGGCATCTGGGACAAGAGGGCTAAGTCTTTAGGGCTGAAGTTGAGGGTTCCTTGTCTTCTCTGGAGCTAGGCGGGAACGGTTCAACACCAGTGACAGCCGCGGCAGCTGAAGCCCGCGACACAGCCGGGGGAGCCGCAGAGCGCGCAGCCTCCGCCAGGGGCGCTCGTCTCCAGGGCGCCGGACCCGGCTTGGGGCTGGAGCAGTGAGGCGGGGCCCGGGGCTGGGGCAGGGAGGCGGTGCCCGGGGGCGGGGGCAGGGAGGCGGGGCCCGCGACTGGGGGGCGGGGCCCGGGGCTGGAGCAGTGAGGCGGGACCCGGGGCTGGGGCAGGGAGGCGGGGCCCGGGGCTGGAGCAGGGAGGCGGGCCCGGGACTGGGGGGCGGGCCTGGAGGGCTGGAGCAGGGAGGCGGGGCCCGGGGGCTGGGGCAGGGAGGCGGAGCGCAGGGGGTCGGGGCCCGGGACTGGGGGGCGGGGCCCGGGGCTGGAGCAGGGTGTCGGCGCCCGGGACTGGGGAGCGGGGCCCGGGGTTTAGGCAGTGGGCAGGGCCCGGGGCGGGGCCGGACTGAGCGGAAGGCGAACCAGGAAAAGCCCTCCCGTCCCCCCAGCCCCCATCCCCAGAAGACAGACATTCTGACTTTTCCTCCAGCGGTCACAGACCCTCCTCCCCACCGGGAGACGAATGTACGAACTCCCCCAAAGGAACAGGTACACGGACCCCTCCCAAAGAGCAGACCACAGGACTCCCTTCCCCACACATACAAACAGAGTCACCCCCAAGAGAAGATATAGCCCCTGACCAAAGGAGAGGCACAGAGGGAGCTGACAGACACAGGAACAGAAACACATCGCTTCTGCCTTCTCAAGAGGAGGCACGCCAAGGTGTGGACGGGGAAGGAGAGAATAAGGAAAATAAGATATTAAGATAAGATCCGACGCCAGCTTACTGTTTACTTACTGACGCTCCCTGCCCCAACTCCCAGACCAAGCCTGCGGGAAGGAGAAAGCAGGTGAGTCCGTCTGTCTAGTAGTAGGTTTCGTATTCTGCATTCCCCAGGACACACACTCCTGACCCTCCCAGACAGGAGTCCTTCCACCTTGCGAGCTCCCTGGCGCGCTCTGATCCCTCCTGTCTTAAATTCACATAACTCACTTTTGTTGATGACTTTTTGGAGGAAAGAGAAGACAAAAACAAAACAAAAACCTGCACTTTCTTTGGCCTGATTTGATCTTGGAAGGTGAGACCGTGACATTTTTCAGCTTTTAAAGGAGACCCCAGAGCAGATAGCTCCATCATCTGAAGACTAGTGTTCAAGCCTCAATCACTCTACCTGTGTGTCCCTAAAGCTGTCATTTAGCCTCTCTGAGACTTAGTGTCCTCATCTGTAAAATGGGGATAATAGGATCTCCCTGCTAGGGTTTTGTGAGGTGTGAAGGATGTGATCAAGGCAATGTGCCTGGGGTGTGGGTGATCAGTTCCCCCTCTGTCCTCTTAGCCTGGTTTACCCATCTCAGGTGTCAGCCCTTGTATCCTACTGTTGTCTACTGAGTTAAAAGCCAATCCCCACCTGGTCATGTAACCCCACCTTCCCCAGGCCTGGGGAGAGGGGCAGAGTTTAAAAGAAGGTACTTCACACAGGGGCCTTATTCCCACTGGCTAGGCCTTGGTCCCTGCTGCTGTCTCCATGGACAAACTGGCCCCTGGTCTCTGATACTGGGGTGGATGACTATGGGTCACCCCATCACAGGTGCCATCAGCTAGTTCAAAGTGCTGTAAGATGGTGAGAGAAAACTAGCTCTAGAGGAACAAGTCCCTGGATATCCAGCTCATCTCTCCTCACCCTTCCCTGACTATTGAGGGTGGTGGCTGCCCTGTGCCCCTGTACTCCTCACCAAAGCCACATCTGAGGCACTTCCCAGCCCAGCCATCACCCACTCTCCTCACCCTCCAGCAGCTTGTGGTAAGCAGCGATCTCAAAGTCCAGGCCCCGCTTGATGATCATCAGCTCCTGGTACTCGCACAGCTGCTGCGCCACATCCTGCTTAGCCCGCTGCAGGGCAGCCTCCAGCCAGGCCAGCTTGCTGATGGCGCTGCCAGAGCCACCCTCCTTCTGCAGAGCTGGCGGGTCCTTGGCTTTCTCTAGTTCATAGGGCTTGGGGGGTGCAGGGCAAATCAAGGACAGAAGAACATTCTTGGCCCTCACTCCTTCCCCCTTAAAGATCCAGAGCTTTCTCTGAGGTTAGAGGGCCAGTGAGGGATTGGAGATTGTCCATGGTTGCAAGGAGTGAGCACGCCTGTTCCAAAACTTGTGTTTGTGTGTCTGCATGGCAAGGTGAAAAGAACCCGCCAACCTGTCTACTTTCAGGGTGAAGATTTGAAACCAGACATCTAGAATGGCTGAGAGCGAGCTTTTTACGTCTAGTGTGGAGAAACTTCTAATATGAGCTAGGATCCTGGAAGCATCCAATGCTCTTACAGGTAATGCTGTGGTTATTGTTTTCTAAGGAAAACTAGCAAGAAGAATATCCATTCCTCACAGGAGCCTAGAGTTTATAGTCTCCAGGAGGAAAAATATTAAGACCTTGGTGAAGGTCTTAATTTGCTGCTTGGGAAACCAGAGCAGCTGTGGCTGGAGGGAGCCTGAACCATGACAGTCCACCCAGTCACTCTGTCCCCTCAGAACCTCAGCAGCTTCTCCCTCCTCAGAGTCACTCATTCTTGCACAAGGGAGATCCTCTCCATAAATATCTTTCCCAGCCTGAGACACTTGCATCTGCAGAAAGCAACAAAAGACCAGGAACAGAAGCCCTTCCCTCCCTGGAGTGAGACCTGAGCCAGTGGGGGTGTGAGAGGGCTGGGGGAGGGGTGGGGTAAGAGAGGAGGCCAAAAGAGAATGGGAGAAAGCATCCTGGGGGACCGGCTCCTTACTAAGGCTCACAAATGCAAATGCCTGAAGGGGCCTGGCTGGAAGTATCAAAAGGTGAAGGCTGAATGCTAAATATGTATCAGGAGTACCCAAGTTCCACAAAAAACATCTGCCCTCTCCCATTTCCTGAAATCACCAGGACCTCTTGCACATTTTCAGACTTTCGTCACTCTACTTCAGTGACGTTGACCCAGCACCTTTTCTCTTCTTCACGGATAACAACATGCAGCCAGGGCGGTGATAAATGGCAAGGGACCCTCTGCCACACACCCAAAGGATGCGATTGGGAGTGGTGGGGACTGTGGCACACAAGAGGGCCTATACCCCGTGTGAAGAAAAGGGAGATGACAGAGGCCTCTGTTCTCTAGCTAAATACTACCATTTGAGAAGCATAATTGAACGTTGCCAGATCGCCACATTTTGAAAGAGAACCCAGAAAACTGGGTTTCTAGGTAATATCTTGCAATTTCTAAGACGAGCTCAAAAATTTAATACTGAGTAAAGAAAACACAAAACACAGACATAAAAATGAACATACACAAGCAAAAAGATAATGATGTACAAACAAGCACATGTCTTGATACAGATGTACCTACACGTTCATTACTTACATAAAGTGCACAGGGTCCTAGGCAAAGGTAAGCATGTCATACACAGGCAGCTGCACTGCTGTGTGCTCAGACATTCACTAAGAGAAAGTCTAGCCATCTAATCCAAAGGGTCAGTAGGAAGGGGCAGATGTCATAAATAATGGTCACCATCCCGCCATGGCCACTCTCTTGCCCCCCACTCCCACCTCTCACCTGACTCTCAGCACTGCCCACCTCCACAGTCAGCTGCTGGATGGCCTGATTAAGCCCATTCAGATCCTCCTTGCTGGGTCTCAGGCTCTTCATGTGTTTCTGTACGGTTGCCTTTAATTCCTCACACTGTGGAGTGGGTGGCAGAGGGGAGATGTGGTCAGGAGGTGAGGAGGGCAGACAGGGCCACCCATTCACCTGCTGTCACCGGTGGTCACCTAGCCTCTCTGGGCACCCCTTTCTCCAACTGTCGAATGGGAGTGATCATTTTTCCTATCCCCAAGAGTTGCTGAAAGAACACAATGAGCTTGCCTGGTCCCTGTGGGGCCAGGAGATGCCAAAGGAAGCCTGAACTCAGGCAGGAAGGGCAGCAACACAGGGGAGCGATCTGTTGCAGGGAGCTTTGGGACAGAGATCACATAGGTTTATCCCAGGAACAGGGAGAGTTAAACAGTAGGAAATCGATTATTGTAGTTTACCACATCTAACCAACTACATTAGTACAAAAAACATTTAACGAAATTCAATAATTCCTAATTTTAAAAAACACATTTTAAAAACTAGGATTAGGGCTGGGCTCACTCCTGTAATCCCAGCACTTTGGGAGGCCAAAGCAAACGGATCACCTGAGGTCATGAGTTCAGCCTGACCAATATGGTAAAACCCCATCTCTACCAAAAATACAAAAATTAGGCAGGCATGGTGGTGGGCACCTGTAGTCCCAGCTATTCGGGAGGCTGAGACAGAAGAACTGCTTGAAGTCATGAGGCGGAGGTTGCAGTGAGCCAAGATCGCTCCACGGCACTCCAGCCTGGGTGACAGAATGTGAGTCTGTCTCAAAAAAAAAAAAATCTAGGATTAAGAAGCAATGTCCTTAAGTTGAATGCCATTAATTAGAAACCAGGAACAGTGATCTAGATTCTAGCTTCTTCCCCAAACCCAAGGCCACTATGGGAAGTGCTGTCTATGAAATCAGGGGACCCTTTCCCTTCTTGCACCTCGCCCCCACATGCATTCAATACACGAACAGCCAGGGAACAGTAACTCACACTTGCACAGGGCCTGATGCTTTTCACAGGCTTTTACTCCACCATCTCACTGGGGCCTCACAACCACCCATGAAGTTGGCCAGGTGGACGTGACTTTTCCCATTGTCTTTCCTCAGGCAAAATGGGGCTCATTCCAACCACCACGTGGCAAGAGGGGAGTGAGTGGCCCTGCCAGCCAACAGTTGAACCAGACTGCATTTTAAGCCCATGCTCTGGGCTCTCCACCAAGGCCATACACACCCCCTCAACCCAGAGAGCAAGAACTATTCACACCAGCCCGTTGCAAACTTCCTTCTAGAGCAGATGGTGTGTGGGGAAACAGATAGGAACTGATCTCAAAACATCATCTCAATCTCTGCTATGTTCCCACCCTGCTTTCCTACTCCTGTTCCCAAAAGCTGATGCCCAGCTGATCTGGGTGGAGCCCAAGACACCTCATCCCCATGTGACCAGGGAGCCCAGTGGATGAGTCTCACCATGGTGTAAGAACTGTGGCCTCCTCCAAGCTCTCTTGAGCATCAAACCCCAGCTCCAGCCCAAGAGGTCCCAGAATCCTCGCCACTGCGAACTAGGCCTTTTCTTTCTGGGGGCTCTGTGACCTCACCTCATTACAATCACAGAGTTCCACCCAGGAGGCCTCAGAGGCATAGGGTAGAAGGGGCCATACTGTGATCCCAGATGGGAAAATAAAAGTTTTTGGGCTGAAGTAGAACTTAAAGGAAAGTGGAGGAGGGGAAGACTACGTCAGGTGGAGGAAATGTGTGGAGCTGAGGAGCTTGGGCTTCTGGATGGGCACTGGGGAGCCACAGAGGGTGTTTGAGCAGGAGAGTGGCCTGACACAAGATGTGATTGTCTAGGAGCAGTGCAGAAGATTGACAGGAGGGCAAGAAATTGGAACTGGGGATGCCAGTCCCAAGACTTGGTAGGAGATCTCGGGTGAGGCAATAACTTTAACCTGTAGGAGTGTGTAGGAACTAGAGAGCACAAGCCACTGACAGCATTTTTCCTTTTGTTTTATAAATTTCTCATGCATGCAAAAGAGTATGCAAAACCTACACTTATTGATTTAACTAGCAACAATAATAAAACAAATCCTTGTGTACTCCCCAGTACCTTCAAAGCCCCCTGCAGGATTCTTGCTGATCCATCTCTATCCATCTCTAACCCCATCTGATCCCCAAATTAACCACTGTCCTGGGTTTTTATGTTGGTCATTCCCTTTCTTTTCTTTATTACTATGTCATATGTGTGTATCCCTAAACTAGCATTGAGTTTTGCCTACCTTTAAGCTTTATATAAATAGAATTACACCTTGTACGTTTCTATGACTTGCTTTTTCCTCCTCAACATTCTAGTTTTGAGATTCATCTTTCTGATGCATGTAGTTTTATTTCTCAGTGCTGCATAGTATTCCAATGTATGACTATACATATATACACACACATACATACATATATCCATTTTCCTATAGGTAGCACATGTGATTTTTGTTTTGGTTATAACAAACAATGCTGTCATGAACTTGCTTATACATATCTGCTAGTGGACCTCAGCAAGAAGTTCTTTAGGGTACTAGTTGTCAAATTGTTTTTTAAACTCAACTCTAAATAAGAAATATAAGTTGTATCATGAATCACTACCTATATACAAATACACACACATATACTGAAATAAGTTTCACGGAAAAATCATTTACTTCCACTATGTATAATGCACTTTGATCTAACCAATCACTTTAACACACTCTTTTACTTTCAACTTATGTCCTTATGTTTTAAGTTTATTTCTTATAACTAGCTTGTTACCTTATTATTTAATAATATAATGAAAATGAAATACTCATGAACCCACTTACTGATCCCAAAACTAAAACCTTACTAGTAATTTACATCTAGCTTTATGTTCCTTCCCTACCCTGTCTTCTCCTAATCACCCCAGAGGTGATTGCTTTCCTAAAGTTGATATAATTCCTTTGTTTTTTCTTAGTTTCTTTATCATTTACATGCATATGCCTAAATATATATTTGTTTCAGTTTTCTGTTTTTTTTTTATAAAAATGACGTCACACAGGGTCTTGTTTTAAAAATCCTTCTCTACACCAAGGTCAGAAAAATATTCTCCAATCTTTCTTCTAAAACCCTTAAAGTTTTGCTTTGATTGACATCTGTGTTTTAAATTAGTTTGAAACTGATTTTGTGTATAAGAGAAAACAGGAATCTAATTTTATTTTTTACATGTGGATAACCAATACATAGTCCTTTTCACTACATACCCTCTCTATTATACAACAAAATCATTTATTTATTTATTTATTTATTTATTTATTTATTTATAAATAAATTTAGGGGCTATTTCGTTCCATTGGTCAATTTGTCTATTCCCGTGTGGGTACTATACTTTCTGAATTACTACAACTCTATAATACATTATACTCCCTGAAAGGGGGAGTACTTATGTTTTCCTTTTCATCATTCCTTAGCTAGTCTTGAGCTTTGTTCTTCCCCATAAATTTTAGAATCAACTTGTCAAGAATTATGTAAATCCTTCTTTGGAATTTGAGTGTTGTTGCATCAACTCTGTAGATCAGTTTAAGGATAATTAACATATTTATTGTAATAAAGCTTCCTAAGAACATGGTATAGCTCTTCATTTAATTAGGTCTTCTTTATCTTTCCTTTCCTATAACATCTTGTACAATGTTTATATTTCTCTAGGTATAAGCCTTTCACACATTCATTAGATTTATTTCTAAGTATCTTATGCATTTTAAATCATTATTTTATCGCCTTTCACACATTCATTAGATTTATTTCTAAGTATCTTATGCATTTTAAATCATTATTTTATCAACTTTATTGAGATATTTGCATACAATTATCTCAATAGAGTGCACACATAAAGTGCTTGTTTAACTTTATAAGAAATTGCCAAGCACAGATCAACAAATTTTGACAGATGTATGCTTCAATATAATTACCACTGAATGAAATATAGATTTCCATTATCTTAGAAAGTCTCCTCATGCCTCTTTGCAATCGGCTTCCCAATCCCATCCCAGGCAACCACTGATCTAATTTCTTTTTTTTTTTCTTTTTGAGACGGAGTTTCGCTCTTGTTACCCAGGCTGGAGTACAATGGTGCGATCTTGGCTCACCGCAACCTCTGCCTCCTGGGTTCAGGCAATTCTCCTGCTTCAGCCTCCTGAGTAGCTGGGATTACAGGCACATGCCACCATGCCCAGCTAATTTTTTGTATTTTTTTTTTTTTTTTAGTAGAGATGGGGTTTCACCATGTTGACCAGGATGGTCTCAATCTTTTGACCTCGTAATCCACCTGCCTTGGCCTCCCAAAGTGCTGGGATTACAGGCTTGAGCCACCGCGCCCGGCCACCACTGATCTAATTTCTATCACTGTAGGTTAGTATTGTTAGTTGTAGAACTTCAAATGAATAGAAGTATACAGTATATATTCTTTGTATCTGAACGTTTCTACTTAGCATAATGTTTTTGAGATTATCTATGTTGTGTCATGAATCTAGTTCATTATTTTTTGTCGCTGAATGATATTTTATTATATGACTGTATCTCAAATGCGTCTGCTGGTACGCATTTGAGTTGTTTCCAATTTGGGACTATTATGAAGTCTTCTATAAAATTCATATACAAGTCTCCGTATAGATCTGTTTTGGTTTTGGGGTTTTTTTGTTTGTTTGTTTGTTTTTTAGTAAATACCCAGGAGTGGAATTGCTGCATCATTTGATAAGTACACATTTAACTTCATAAGAAATTGCCAAACTGTGTCCGTCTGTCTGTCTGTCTGCCTCTCCCATCAGACTGGGATCTCAGTTAGGCAGAGACTTGCCTGCCTCTGATTGATTCCTCAGTGCCTAGGCCCGGCTGTGCACATGGTAGGGGTTCAGGAAGCATGTGATCCAGGATACCCACCTTGTGGATGAAGGCAGCAGACCTGCTGTTGAGGCACTTGATCTTCTCCTCCTGCTTTATGCACTGCATATTGGGGTCAATCTCTAGGTTGAGGGGCGTGAGGAGGCTCTTGTTGACCAACACGATGGTGATGCCGGCAGTGCTGGGCCCACACGTGGTGCCAGAGTGGTAGCTGAATCTGTGTCCACAGGAGCCAGTGCCAAGCCCCCAGTGAGCCATGGTAGCAGAGGCCGGCCGTGACGCATCAGCGACCAGGCCAGGGCCCGCAGGCCAAAACCCAGCTGAAGGTGAGGTCGTAACCATATCTCCTAGTGGTCCCACAGGACCTGGATTTGCAGACTCCGCTCAGACTCTGCTCTAGGCAAGACATTCTACAAGTCATGGCACTCTCTGAAGAGATGAAGCAAGAGGAAGAAGAGAAGGACTCTGACCTCTCCCTCACTGCTAGCACCTTTTATAAACCTGGACACCTGGGTCTGTCTGCCTCCCTATGTGGAGAGGCCATATTGTGACCTTTATGAGCTTGGGAAATTTCAGTCATTTCTCCTCCCTCCTGGGGTAACATCATCAAGATGGGGCTTTGGAAAATCCTACGCTCGGGCAATTCTGAAATGTTGGCAGCATTTCTTCCACAGCTGAGGGCTGAAAGTGCCCAGGAATCGAGGTCAGCCAAAGCCTGTAGTCTCCACACTTTGTGAGGTGATTGTGGAGATTGGGAGAAGCCGGGTTGGGATGCTTCCTTTCAGGTTGTTAGCTGAGCTCACAAGCTCAATTTTTCAGTTTGGGCTATCAGATGAGCTGCAACCAGGGAAAGGACAGGCCATCCTCACTCCAGGTGGTAGGCCCTGGCTCCTTCAAGTGAAAGACCCTTCCAGAAGCTCCCCAGGCAGAGCCCCAGGGCCAAGTCCTAAAGGCAACCCGTAATACCTGGCTCCTGGCACAGCCAGTAGGAGATTGTGTCTACCTCTACTAAGATGTGGAAAAGTCAACCACGCAACCAAAAAGTTTTGTTCAGCTCTTCTTGCCACAGGACCCATGGAGTGAGCATGTGTGTAAGCATCTGGTTGGAGGATTTGAGTATCTGGATCCCTCCACCTGCCCACCCACCTCCCTCCCTTTCCCTGTGCCTTCAAGATTCCTCACCCCCACCCGACAGTCTCCCTCAACTCCGCCAGAAGCACAGAGCCATGCTCTCCAGTCCCTTGCAAAGGCTCCCTCTTTATTGGGGGTACCCTTCAAGAGAGCTTCTCTCATCAGCTTTGAGACAGGCCCACAGGAGCCTAACGGAAGGGTGGGAGTGGGGGTCCCCAGCCAGGAGAGCATCAGTGTGTAAAAGGCCACAGCCTCCAGACCTGAAAGAGCAGGACAGAGGGCTGGGTGGTCTGGATGGTGACCGGAGCAGTGAAATAACGACAGCTCTCAACAGTGGCTAGAATGTACGGACCACTTACTGTACAGCAGGAAGCAGGCTAGTGCTTTACACACCCCTCACCTGATCCTTACCATGTCCCTGGCAAGTTCTATTACCTCAATTCCACATACAAAAGAAACAGAGGCTCAGAGAGGTTGTGTGCAAGTTTTCACCCACATTGTAAGTGGCAGAGCCCAGATGTGTCTGATTCCAGAGATATTTCTGATTACTATACCATGAAGAATGAAGAAATGTATTTCTGAAATGGACACACTGGTGTCCAAGATAAATGAAGGTACCAGAAGAACACACACGGACATGCATGCACACACACGCTTTCACACATATACACTCTCTGTGTACCAGCCCCATGCCCTGTTTACTCACACACCTCCGAGCATGGCACCTCTAGCACTTTGCTTGACATTCTAAGCCCACCCTGCCAATCCACCATATCACCGTGTGGCTTCCCCTGCCCTCATCAAATCCTGTTCTTCAGCCAAAGCAGATGACCTGCTGTTCCCTTCACCTCCTCTGGCCTCCCTTGCTTGCTGTCATTGCTGACACCATTCTCTCCGGCTGAATCCTCCCCTCTCTCATCTCAGCATTTCCAGGTTTCTCATCTTCTTCAGGCCAAACCAAAGTGTCAGCTCCTCCAAGGACCCTGCTCTGACCCCTGGCCCCAAGCTCCCATGGCATGGTATTGCTCCGCTTTAGCCAGACCCCCTGCAGCTTTGCACCAATGTCCTCTGTGTGCGTGCCTGTGCTGCCCGAGGACGGCAGTCTCTCCTTCATGCTCCGAGCCTGGTTCCTGATGAGTATTCAGTAGATGTTTGCTTCCTGCCCTGGGACCCACTGGGAGGCTAAAGAAGAGGCATGGTAACTCAAACAGGACATTAGCTTTTCACTGATAGGCTGGTATATTGGTGATAAAAGGGGTGGTGGGGGGTGATTTCTAGAAGATCTGGCTAAGAATGAAGAAGCCCTCCTCTTCCCTGGCACTTGTGACGATCAACCCACTCTATGAAGAAGTATGTCCTTAATTGTTTCTGAAATTTCTCGGGCTTCAGCCCGTTTCTCTCGCCTGAGTTCCCAGAATAATAAAAAGACCACCAGGCATATGTTTCCCCGAGTCTGGGCTGGGGATGAGCATTAACGCTGTGGAGGACCACTGATATCTAGGTGACAAACTTCTCCATTCCAGCCATTTCACATTGTACTCTCAGCGGGCACAACCCAGCCTGCAGCTCTTCTGTTTCTCTGGATTTTTAATGCACGTGGTTATCTGAGTGGACAAAGGCTGATTATTAACATCCTCATCAATTGTGACAGCATAGAAAGTCCAGTCCATCCACCCACAAAACCCCAGAAAGGGATCCAAGCAAGAATCATGTAAGTGCCTCCATATGTCTAATTTAAATCCCCCATGCTTCAGGTTAAGTCCAGTTCCTCTTGTCAAGGAAACACCAAAGGAAGACTCCTTCAATACTACTTATTCCCAAAAGAAAATTGGAGTCAAAATACATAATCCTGAAGCCAAGCATTGGTCACACAACGGGTGACTGACAGAGCAGGAGCACCATCATCTCGGACAAACACCACCACTGTCAGTTCCAGTTCCCTTTCTAGCCTCATCCATTGCAAGGAAATCACTGCTAACTACAAGCAGACATTCCCAGTCAGGTAAATGGGTACAATAATACCCACCTCAGAAGGACGCCCTGGGAGCTAGACCGTAAAACACAGAAAAGACAGCTCAGGCACAGAGGGAAGTAGGGGGAAAGTCTGGTGGGTAACTGCCAAACTTCGCCCTCATACAATGGGCCCTAGTAAAACAGTGGTCCTGAATTAGCACATTCCTTTCCCTTCAGGTGCACTAAGATAGGGAAGCTAAAGGCAGCCTCAGGGGACATGCCTGCAGCTGCAGAAAGATGTATGGAAACAGACACACACTCTCCCTCCCAGATAAGCACAACAAAGACACAGAAACAGTCCAAGCCTCCAATAGACTCTCCCACCCTAAATCCTGAAAAAACTGTTAGTCCGTAAGAAGAGTGTGCCTCTGACCTTACTCAGCCAGATGTCCCTCTCATGTTTGTTTTCTCTAAAATAAACCTGTCTGGCAAGCCACCTTTCGTGTTTCTTTCCTCTTTCTTTCATTCTTACAGACTCCCAGCTGAAGCTGGGGAAGAAGCGCAAGCCTGTGGCGTTGGGCTCCAACTTCAACGGAGGACCAACTAAGGTTGGCCTTAAGCTGCTACGAAACAGACCAAGGCTGGGCCAAAGGAATCCAAGCCGGTGAGAGTGCAGAAAAGACAGGAAAAGGGGTCATAGGGCACTCCCTGGAAATGAGATGCCAGGCAGCTCAAAGCCAGGACTGGCTGTGATGACCTCTGGAGTTCTAAGATTTAATTGCTGCTTTCACAATAATAACTCATATTTAAAAGCAAAGGAAGCTGAGGGTGATTTGCGTGCTTCTCTTTAATGCTGGCTGCTGAGTGCACACTCCTGGTTTCCTCTGCAATAATTGGACGCATAATTCACCTCCTTTATAATGGATTATGGCCTTCTAGAGTTGGTGACCATGGCCAAGCCTCAGTTAAGGGGAAGGCCTGGGATTGATCAATTTCTCCAAGGGCCCAAAGCCCAGCAGTCTGTGCTCCTGCCGTCAACAAAAACTCAACCCTCGGCCGGGCACGGTGGCTCAAGCCCATAATCCCAGCACTTTGGGAGGCCGAGGCGGGTGGATCACGAGGTCGAGAGATCGAGACCATCCTGGTCAACAAGGTGAAACCCCGTCTCTACTAAAAATACAAAAAGTTAGCTGGGCATGGTGGTGCGTGCCTGTAATCCCAGCTACTTAGGAGGCTGAGGCAGGAGAATTGCCTGAGCCCAGGAGGCGGAGGTTGCGGTGAGCCGAGATCGCGCCATTTCACTCCAGCCTGGGTAACAAGAGCGAAACTCCGTCTCAAAAAAAAAAAAAAAAAAACTCAACCCTCATTCAGCCCCCAAAGATTCAGACCCTGGGTGAGGCCATGTGGAGGAGGGCCCGGAAGAGGGGTGTCCTCTCAGATTCTAACTCTGCCCCTCTATGGAGCCACCTATGTATAACCTTAAGTCACTGGGCCACCCTGAGCTCACCTTCCCAATTAGGTGGGCCCAATAATACCCACCTCAGAAGGGTTCCCTGGGAGCTAGAGGAAACAATATAGTATAAAGAGGCCTCGGCACAGTACTAGGCAGATTGTGGGCACTCCATAAAACCACTCCCTCCCCCTCACCCAAGCAGAGTGGAGAGAGATACAGGAAGGAGGGACACTTGGCCAGAAGAGGAGGTATGAGCTGAGTCCTGAGATAGAAGAGAAGAGAAAGTTTTTGCCCAAAGGGACACAGGATGAATGATAAATTAACAATAGAATAAATAGAACAAATAATAGATAAAGAAACGAACATTTACAGAGCTCTTACTAAGTGGCAGGTAGGGCCCTAAATGCTTTCTGGTTATTATCTCATTAGATCCTGGTGACAGCCCTCAATGCTTACTATTATTATCGCTATTTTGCATTGAGGAAACTGAGGCTCAGAAGGTTATTCAGCTGCCCAAGGTCACGACAGGAACCTGCAGGACTGACTTCAGAGGCCCCACCCTCTCGACACGCACGCACACACTCGCCCCCCACACCGTGCAGGGATGTGCAGATAACTAAAGCCAAGCCTCCCCGCCGGTGGCGGACCAGGGCTATGGGACTGGGACCCGAGTGGGGGCCGGATCCAACGAGGCAACCCTCCGAGTCCCGGCAGAGCGGCGGACGAGCGGGGGAGTGACATCCACAATCCCGCAGCGCACGGGCGGCAGAGCTGATCCGGCGCTTCCCGGCCCCATAAAGCGCGGGCGGGAGGCGAACGCCGTTTTATGGAGGCGGCCTGGCGGCCCGGCCCGCTTTGATTGCCGGCTCCGCGAGGCGCGAGGACCGAGCCCTCCAAGCTCGTTAACGCCTGGCCCGCCAGCTCCCTCCCTAGGCCCGCGGGCAGCCGTATAAGGCACTGCGTGGGCCTGGGGTCCAGCCGCCAGCCCCTGCCGCCGCGGCACCATGTCCGGCCTCTCCTCCCGCCTCGGCGCCCCCTTCGGGGTCCGCGCCTTCAACTGCATCTCGGCCTGCGGGCCCGGGCCCGGCCCCCTACCGCGCCATCTCCTGCCACCGCGGCCTCGCCGGGGGCTTCGGCAGCCACAGCGTTTTGCGGGGGCTTCCGCGCCGGCTCCTGCGGGCGCAGCTTCGGCTACCGCGTGTGCACACCCAGCACCCCCTGCATCACCACCGTGTCGGTCAACGAGAGCCTCCTCACGCCCCTCAACGTGGAGATCGACCCCAACGCGCAGTGCGTGAAGCAGGAGGAGAAGGAGCAGATCAAGTGCCTCAACAGCAGGTTCGCGGCCTTCATCGACAAGGTGGGTGTCCTGGATCACACCCTTCCTGAACCTAGAGATCCTGGGAGGAGATGGGCATTCCCAGGCCGGTCTCTCTAGAAATGGGGAATGAGGACCGCTGATAGTTCATACAGTTTTAGGCAGTGCTGGCCCATAGCATTAAATAACAGTGAAACACCCGATGGGAAAACTCATCTGCTTTAATGTCTTGTTTCAATCCTTAGGATTAGGTTGGGAAAAGTCTCACTGGATGCTAATGTTCTTAGCATCTCTCCAATACTTGCTTCCCTCCTGTTTCTAATAAAGAGAGCGAGCCTTGGGTTCAGAACTGTCTAGGACAACTGTGTGTGCTAGAATTTAACTGTTTCTGCTAGAATTTAATAATTCCCTTTATGTATGCCTAGTAATGATGGTTTTGCATCTCTGGTAGTAATATCAAGTTACTTTTTTTTTTTTTTTTTTTAATTGAGACGGAGTTTCACTCTTGTTGCCCAGGCTGGAGTGCAATGGCGCTACCTAGGCTCGCTGCAATCTCTGCCTCCCAGGTTCAAGCAATTCTATCTCAGCCTCCGAGCGGCTGGGATTATAGGCACGTGCCACCACACCCAGCTAATTTTTTGTACTTTTAGTAGAGACAGGGTTTCACTATGTTGGCCAGGCTTTTAACCCCATACATGTAAATGTTAATTGAATCCACTTATAGATAAATCATGAGTAAAATATCATATAGCATGGCAAAATCCTGAAGTCACCTTTGAGCGTCCACAGAAGAGAAAGGAGAAGGGGAGAGGGTGAGGGGCTGGCCCAAGGGCCCCCAGAGAGTGGGTGACAGAGCAGGGCTCCAATCCTAGGCCCTCTCCAACTCTCCAGCCCCTGGGCTAGAAGGTCCACAGCTTGGGGCCCCAGCTGCCCCACTCCCTCTAGCAGGGGCTGGCTCACCTCAGCAGGCACTGCACCCTGGAGAGGTGACCAAGAAATGGCTCATGGAATGCACACTGGCCCAGAAGCAGGTGGCCTGGCCTCTATGCCCATTTCTTTTACTAATGTACTGTGTGGCACTGGGCAGAGGCTTCCCTTCTCTACCCCAGTGGCCTCCTCACCAGGGCTGTGTGTGGTACAGCGTCTGAGCTGGCCATGACTCTGAAAGGGAAGATGGGGGCCAAGGCAGCCATGAGACCCCATAGCCAAGACCACCTAAAATTATTCCATGTAACCAGGTGTGGTGGCTCACGCCTGTAATCCCAGCACTTTGGGAGGCTGAGGCGGGCGGATCACGAGGTCAGGAGTTCGGGACCAGCCTGGCCAAAATACTGAAACCTCGTCTCTACTAAAAATACAAAAAATTAGTTGGATGTGGTGGTGGGTGCCTGTAATCCCAGCTGCTTGGGAGGCTGAGGCAGGAGAATTACTTTAACCCAGGAGGCAGAGGTTGTAGTGAGCCAAGATTGCACCATTGCACTCCAGCCTGGCAACAGTATGACACTCTGTCTCACCAAAAAAAAAAAAATTATCCCATGTAATATCCAGTCCTCATTCCCCATGTCTACAGTTTCCAACCTGGGAATTCCCAGCTGCACTCATGGAGTTGAATGAAAAGGACCCCAGGGCAAAAGGCAGGAGGACATCTCAGCTCCAGCTCAAACGTATGAGAAGTGGAAAACTGGAAGCCCAGGGACCTAGTTTGTTTGCTGACACCCTTTCTGGCCAGCACAATGTTGTTGCCATGTGTTCCTCCAGTTTCAGTGAAATCCAGGAAAAGCGTACAAGCCTCACTTTGCTGGGGTCCTCCCCCTCCCTGTTTTCCAAAACCTCCCCCCATTCGCATTACCTGCCTGGCCTCCAGAGACATATGACACAGTGTTCAACATAAGAGTTCAGGCCACCTAGGACCATGCCCCACACATCCCCACGGCTCGTCAGGCCCCAGGCATCCTGCCTGGTAAGAGCCTAGCCTCTTTGACCTCCCCAGCTAGAAAGCCCTTCCCACCTTGACCACCCATTCAATCAAATGTTCACCAAGCCAAGGGCTGCCTATGAGGACATCAATACATAAGCCATAGGCCCTGCCCTGAGGGAGCCTATAGTGAAAGACATTCTCCCTACTCTATCCCTCCCAACACTGCTTTACATTCCTTTCCTCCAGGAAGTCTTCCCTAATTATCACTACCCACTATCCCCATTTGTCCTCCGTAGCCTGACAGTAATATCTGTCCCTCCCAGGCCTCTCAGTTGCTCACTCATCCCATCCAGGCCCAACCTGGACAGACCCTCCCTCAGACCTGAATAAGTAATTATGAAACAAGGATTCTCCAGCTGCATCTTGCAGCCAGAAGAGGCAAGGGCCATGTGGTCTACCCTTGGCCTCTGCACATCTCACTGCTAGTTCTGTCTTGACTCTGGCTGTTCCCCAAGGAGGGCTGGGGATATTGGCTCCTCCCGCCAACTTTTCTCCCACTTCCACACCAGGTGCGCTTCCTGGAGCAGCCGAGCAAGCTGCTGGAGACCAAGCTGCAGTTCTTCCAGAACCGCGAGTGCTGCCAGAGCAACCTGGAGCCCCTGTTTGAGGGCTACATCGAGACTGCAGTGGGAGGCCAAGTGTGTGGAGGCCGAGAGTGGGAGGCTGGCCTCAGAGCTCAACCATGTGCGGGGGAGGTGCTGGAGGGCTACGAGAAGAAGTGAGTGCAGTGAGAAGAGGGTCTGGAGAAACCAAATGGGATTAAGTCAAAGTATGATAGATTTGGGTTAGACCACAAGAAGAACTTCCCACCAGGAAGAAAATCCTGTGGGGTGGGGGGAATTTCTTTTCTAGGCTGGGAGTTTAAACATTGGAGATTCTGAACTGTTCCAGCTGCTTCATCATTATGTGTTTATTGCGTTAATTCATCAAACATTTTATTGACCATCTACTCAGTGTTGTAGGCGGGGAAGGAGTAAGGAAGCAAGAAAGAGGGGAAAGGAAAGGTACCAGGGCTGGGCAGGGTTCCTCCCCCCACCAAGGGAGTTATAGTGCAGAAACAGAGAGGAGGTCTTTGGAAATGTGCAGGGCCCCCACCCTGACCCACATCAGGAGTGAGAGTCCCTGAAACAGAGCTTTGAGTAACATGGGTTGGTTTGAATGCCCACAAGAAAGGGATGGACAAGTTCCCTTTGGTCCGACACTTTTTTGAGTCTTGTGACAACCTCCGAAAGATCCAGTTCCTGGAGCGTGTTTACCTGTACCTTCATTCCCATTTTTCCCCCCCCCCCAATCTGAACCTTGTGTATTTTGTCCCTAGCTATGAAGAAGAGGTGGCACTAAAGGGCACTGAGGCAGGCCATGAAGAAATGCAGGTCCAGTGTGGCCAGATGCTCTGAGCTTTTGAAAGAAGCCATGAATTTCAGCTATTGTGTTAAATTTCCAAAATCGAAGGCACTGTACAAACACTCCTGGGAGCACTAATTTGCAACCCCTGGCCTAGCAAATAGATAAGGCCTCTTCTTCCTCTGCTAGTCAATGGTCAGTGGTTACCTGGCCCCTGACCCTGAGGCCCGAACAGACACCCTTAATAACCCTTCCTTGCCTCCCAGAACTCCAAGCTGGAGGCCACGGTGGCCCAGTCTGAGCAGCAGGGTGAGTCAGCCCTCAGTGACGCCCGCTGCAAGCTGGCCGAGCTGGAGGCCGCCCTGCAGAAGGCCAAGCAGGACATGGCCTGCCTGATCAGGGAGTACCAGGAGGTCATGAACTCCAAGCTGGGCCTGGACATCGAGATCGCCACCTACAGGCGCCTGCTGGAGGGCGAGGAGCAGAGGTGAGGACCACAGCTATGGGGAGGGTGTCCCCTCAGTTTCCCCAGGTCGTGCTGCAGTGCTTCAACAGCCAGGAGCATGTCTGCAGATCGTTTACTTCTACCCGGAGGAGAGAATTTGCAGGTTAACAGATTTCACCAGCTTTGGTCCCCACAACTAATTTCTGTCTCTTTGCTTTCCCCATAAGGTTGAAGGCGTTGGTGCTGTTAAGTGTCTGTAAGTAATCTATTTTGTGGGTTCCCAAATAAGAGCTTGGGGTTCAGGGAAGGCAAACTTTTTCTTAAAGCTTTAGACAGTAAAAACTTTAGGCTTGTGGGCCGTGCAGTCTCTGCCTCGACTGCTCCGCTCCTACTGTAATGTAAAGCAGCCACAGCCAAAGCAAAACTTAAAGGAAGAGGTGTGACTGGGTTCCAAGAAAACTTGATTGACAGTCAGCCTGCGTGTGGCCATAGTTTGCAGACTCTAAAAAGAAAGACGGAGCGAGGCAGTGAGTGATTATGGTAACAATTAGCTACAGACAGGTACCACATAGGGACTTTTAGGTCAAGGATGAATGAATATAGGACAGTAGTCCCATTCGATTCTAACACCATATTTTTACTCTACCTTTCCTAGGTCTAGCTCTGCTCAGATACACAGATACCTACCATAGTGTTACAGTTGTCTCCAGTCTTCAGTACAGTCACATGCTGTACAGATTTGTAGCACAGAAGCAATGGGCTGTGCTATAGAGCAAATTTGTCAAATCTGCGGCCAGAAAGCTGCATGAAGCCCAGGACAGCTTTGAATGCGGCCCAACACAAATTTGTAAACTTTCTTAAAACTTAAGAGATTTTTGTGTGTGTGATGGTTTCAAGCTCATCAGCTATCATTAGTGTTAGTGTATTTTATGTGTGGTCCAAGACAGTTCTTATTTTTCCAATGTGGCCCAGGAAAGCCAAAAGATTGGACACCCTTGGGGCCTGAGTGTGGTGACTTACACCTGTAATCCCAGCACTTGAGAGGCCAAAGCAGGTGGATCACTTGAAGTCAGGAGTTCGAGACCAGCCTGGCCAACATGGTGAGACCCCGTCTCTACTAAAAATACAAAAATTATCTGGGCGTAGTGATGGGCACCTGTAATCACAGCTACTAGGGAGGCTGAGGCAGGAGAATCGCTTGAACCCAGCAGGCAGAGGTTGCAGTGAGCCAAGATCACCGCACTGCACTCCAGCCTATGCAATAGAGCAAGACTCCATCTCAAAAAAAAAAAAAAAAAAAAGATTGGCCACCATTGCCATACAGCCCAGGTGTGTAGTCAGCTGCACCATCTAGGTTTGTGTATGTGCACTCCAGGATATTCGCACATCATTAAATGATGACAAAATCATTTAATGCTGCATTTCTGAGAACATATCCCTGTTGTGAGGCAAAGCATAACTATGTCTGCCTAAGAGAGGACTTGGGCTAACAGTGTATCAAGACTACGGGAACCAGTGCCCATAGGAGGGTGTTGAGGGGAGCGGATAGAAACGGGAGAAGCTCTGAGCAGAAGGGGCCTCTGGCTGCCAGGAGCCTGATCCCTGTCCTCCCCCTCCGGCAGGTGTCAGCAGCTCCCGCGGCGGGGTCCTGTGCGGGAACCTGTGCGGGTCGGGCTCCCGGCCGGTGACGGGCACCGGCCTGTGCGCGCCCTGCGGCCAGAGCTGCGGCAGCGGCCGCTCCATGCGCTTCGCCTGAGCACCCCGCTTTGTACCCATGCCACCCCGCCAGCAGCAGCCGTAGCAGCCTCAGCCTCCCGAGGCAGCCCAGAGCTCCCAGGGCCCCCAGAGGAGTGGAAGAAGGGCTTCGAGGCTCAGCCGCCCACTCGGCCCCCATGCCATGCTTTCTGGTTTCGCATCCCCGCCCGCTGATCCATCCCTTCACTGCTCCCGGGAGCACAGGGCTCCTGGTCCCAGCTCTCCCCACCCCGCATCTAAAGGACTGTGTCCTCGCAGCCCAAGGCAAAGACTCGGGTCCAGAGGCCTGTGGCCTCTGAGGGACAGATGGGCCTGGAGCCCCTTGGTGTGGACTTACTGTGCCTTCTAATCCACGTGCGGGACAGGCCACCTCTCGCGCCTCACTGCCTGGCTCCCTCCCTCTCCTCTGTCTTTGTCTCAGCACTTCCAGTAAATCTCCCGGTGACATATAATGCGCCCTGACAGTCTCTCGTTTCTCCTGCCCGCTTCGTCTTCCCACCCAGGTTTCCCATCAGGGGCGGACAGAGAGCTGTGCGCAGCAGTGGAGGAGGGCTGACCCACCCCCACACCCTGCCTCACCCCGGTCCTGCGTCCTGAAGGGCGGCCACCAGAGCCAGCAGATGGAAGGGCAATGCGGCAAGCCTTAGTTGGGAGGTGGGAGGGGCTGGATCTCCTGACAACTTGGGTGAGAACCTCATCACTGTGGCTGCTGGGACATCCCTGGTCCACTTCTTCCACTCTCCACCCTCAGCCCCCACCTCAGCACTTGAAAGTTCCCTGACCATCGGGTCAAATATACACACTTCCCCTCTGAAGCCAGCTCATCCCAGAGAGCTCCCCCACCCACACCACCACCATCACCCCCTGGGGTCCCAGACACAGAGACCTCCCCACTGCTCCACAGCGCCCATCATACATGCTGCTGCCCGTCAGGGACACATTTCCCCATGAATAGGCCCTGCCACAGAACACCTGCCACACTCACAGGCACACAGACCTGTGCGTTGAGGACCCTGACACATAGAGTTTCCCATCAAGCACTGACCTAACACACGGATGTCCTTCACCACTCCCATGGATGCAAGTGCAAACCCATCCCTCCGCCAAGGTCCTGGGCACAGACCTATTACCAGGGATCTAGACTCTAGGACCCGCCTCCATGCACACACACCTCCTCCCCCCAGCCACCACCCCACAGAATTCGAGATGCAGAGGACTTCTCCAGGGCCCCGCCTGGCTGGCCATGAGCCTGGCAGACCCAGCACCAGGAAGGGCTGAGGACAGCTGGCGTGAGAGTTGGCTAGGCCACCCGAAACCGGGGCCTGGGGCAGCTGAACGTTTGTGGCCTCTTCACAAAAGGAATGTGCTCTGGCAGCTCCAGGCATGGGGAGAGGGAGGCACACAGGCTTCCCACCCACTTAACAGGGCAGCATTCCAAGGCCCAGTTGCTGGCAGAGGCTGCATTTCCCCGTGGCTCTTCTGGGCTTCCTTAGGAGAATCTTTGGGATCAGCCCCAGCCCTGGAGACCAAGGCTCACCTTAGGAAAGCGTCCTGCCCCTTAGAGCAGCACCCCACCCCACCACGAGCCTTCCTAGTCATCAGGGGGACCCTGCCTTCTCTAGTCCCCTGTCCTCCCCTGCCCAGTCTAATGAAGCCAGGAGACCAGGCACGGGCCACACAGATCACTCAGACCTCAGAACGAGGCTGCTTTACTGGACGCTATTCTGACATCACTTTCCAGACTGTCTCTCGGTCTTGGGAACAGGCATGGGAGGCAGGGAGGGGAATCTTCTGGGACTGTGGGTAGTGGCTGGGGGAATGGAGGGGTGGGAAGCAGCTCAGTTGCGGGCGCTCCTGCGACTGGTGGATGTGGTCCGGATGGAATAAGCCTTCAGGGGCCCAGGACCCACACTGCTGGAGAAGCTCAGGGCATTGCTGCCCATGGTTCCCCCGAAGCTCAGCCCAATGCCACCACCACTGCCACTGCCACTGCCTCCAGTGGAATTCACCACAGCTAGGAGAGAAAAGAGGGGGGCTCTCTTCAGTGCAAGACTCCCTACCAGGGACCCCATCCCTTCACTGTACCCCACCCTCCTGCCCCAGCTGCCTCTCTCCCTCGCCCCTGCCCCCGCCATGGGCCAACCCAGAAGGAGCCTCCGACAGGGGTAGGGCTGCCCCCCAGGTACTCCCGGCCCCACCCTGCCCTCTTGCACTTCTGCCTGGGCCATTGAGCCTGCCTGCATGTGCTCCAGGTGACCTGCCAGACCCTGGGGAAAGAAAGGAGGCTCCTGGCCCCTTCGGCAGGACCCTGGGCCAATCTGCCATTCTCTAGACCCAGCCTGTCTGAACAGCACAAGGGTTGCTTTCCATGGGCCGCAGCCAAGGACTTACAGATATTCACGGCTCCCACTCCATCTCCGGCCAACCTGGGGGCAGAAGACAGGCTGTGAGGGCGGCTCTTTCTAGCGCGGGAGGGAAGCACTCTCAGCCCCGTCTCCTTCCAGGCCCCAAGCAGGGTCATTGTTTTTCCTTCTTGCCCCACACTTCCAGCCTGACTTCAGCCTTGTTAAAGGATCGAGGAGGAGTGTGGGAAGGGAGTGTTCACCTTGACCCTTCTATCCACTGGCCACATGACCCCAACAATGTCTCAGAGCCTCCATTTCCCACTTATACCTTGAGCCCAACTACAGGACCAAATTCATGGGCTTGTGTGTGAGGGTTAAATGACATAATTTGCCTAACGCCCTGGGCACGTAGGATCCGGTGAATGGTAGCTGGGTGTAGTATTTACGTAGATCGCTGCCTTTCCTCACCATATCATAAAATCCTAAAGGTGTCTGTGGGCTATTGATACTTTTATCCCCAGCATGAGGCCTGGAGAAGTCATTGCTTACTATATGACAAAATAATTAGTGAATCATTGACTGATTGAATGGGGTTCCAGCCAGGACCGAGGAAGGAGCCGGGAGTGGGGGTGGTTTAAGCAGCCAATGGGGCTGAAACAGGTCTTGCAGTAGAAATTAAAATCCATTCAAGACAGCTGGGTATGTTTGTTTTGTGACTCACAGCCCCATTGTCACCAAGCCCTTGGCCTTGGGGATCAGTTTGCTCTGTGGGGGGAGGGAGAACCTCACTTTGGTGGAGGGAATGCAGACAGCCTCGCTGGCCTCTGTGGCCCCAAGCCTAGGAAGCAGGCAGAGCAAAGGCAGAAGGAAAGAGAGGTTTGCTGAAAGCTTGCAGGGCGCTCGCTTAAATGGCCTCTGCTGGTGCTGGGAGTTGCTGGCACCTGTGGGTGGGGAGAGGGAGCCAGGTGGCATCCAGGCAGCAACTCTAAG